TCGCTCTCCAACCTGTGTTGAATTTCTAGTTGATTGTGTTAGATGCAGAATTAAAGTCTCTATCGAATGGTACTATTTTCGATGGGGGTCATCGAGTAAAAACTAGCAGTTTTGACCTGAAACACTGGGTTTTAAGCCCTTTCTGCCAGTATATCTCGCTGACATTCGCTCTCCAACCTGTGTTGAATTTCTACTTGATTGTGTTAGATGCAGCATTAAATTCTCTATCGAATGGTACTATTTTTCATGGGGGTCATCGAGGAAAAACTAGCAGTTTTGACCTGAAACACTGGGTTTTAAGGCCTTTCTGCCAGTATATCTCGCTGACATTCGCGCTCCAACCTGTGTTGAATTTCTAGTTGATTGTGTTAGATGCAGAATTAAATTCTCTATCGAATGGTGCTATTTTCGATGGGGGTCATGGAGTAAAAACTAGCAGTTTTGACCTGAAACACTGGGTTTTAAGCCCTTTCTGCCAGTATATCTTGCTGATATTCGGTCTCTAATGTCCCGTGTCCTATTTCGTACTTTGTCTGTTGTACTTTGTCGATTGAATAGATTTAATCAAACTTAGGCAGTATTGATATGACACGTTTCAAAGTTAAGAGTGGCCGAAATTTTCAGGCATCCGTGATTGTAATGATCTTTCTGTCTAATGTGATGATCATTTGATGTATGTGATTTATATGACGCTGTAATTAAACATTCTATGTAAATAAACCATGTGAAATGTAATTTTGATTTTATAGAGAAAAAGAACGAACAAGACGAATAATAAACGAAAAAAGAAAAAATCAAGTAAGTGAATAAATGATGGACGCCGAGGACTGTTGTACAAGTTGATCAAGTGCTATTTCTCTTTCTAGAAATAAAGCAAATATTGTTATTGGAAAAAGTTGTTATTGAAAAAAGAAGTTGATTACTTACGTCTAGCAGTTTCTCGACGACGTCCGTACTCTGCAGGCGTCTTAGGCATAATCCATGCAGGCTGAAAATAGCAATACGTTAATTACGGGAATATCGCAATATTGTACGATTCTTACTTTGCAATCCCCATTATTCCGGTAACATTTTTGTAAACAATAACCGATAATTGATAAAACCAAAACACTGAAATAACATATATATGGCCCAATCGTTTTTACAATTTCCTGAACGTTATTTAAATGGGCTTTAAGTTGTTGTATATGCTCAGTTTTATTGGTGGTGGTGGTAGAGATGGTGGTGGTAGTAGAGATGGTGGTGGTGGTTAGAGAATATTCATGTTGTAAAAAATCATTTAAATTATAATACTGCTAGAACAAACAAATACTTCTTCTACTTCATTTATAGCAAATAAATATTACTTACTGGAGCCGAGTTGGCAAAAGCGAGAATGGTGAGAGTTACGAACAGAAGCATAATGATTGAGCGAAAATTTTATTTAGAATTCTTATCGATGTCAAAGTATATATACATTTTAAATAGTCACACGTAATTGCTTTACATGTACATTTTTGAGTGTAATTTGTATCGATGCCGAATATTTTCAAAGAACGACAATAATTTACAATCGTGATCAGTCTGTCTTTTGTTGTTTATATTATTATCAACGTCCCTTTGATGTTTCTTTTAAAAAGAACAATTAAGTTCCAATCAAAGGAAGAATAGAACACGATATGAATTTTAAACAAATTTATCTATAATACATAATCCTATTCGTCATCCGAATGCTATAATTGAAAGTTATTTTCGTACAAAGAGAAAAAGTATTTGTAAGGGAAAAAATAGTAATCATCCGTCAGATATTATCATGAAATTATATCGAAGTGTTCTAGCACAATTTACGATACGGCAATAAACGATCAATTCCAGCTTTTTATTGTTTTTCTAATTATTCTGATGTACGTGCATCATATAGAACCAAATTGTTTCGGACCCTTATATAAACGACGATTGTTGTCTGTTTCAAGACTTGAATACAAGCGCATACACGTTCCTACTTCAGTACGAAGTTGTGTTTAAAAATTTAATAATTTAAGTGTTTTAAATTCAATCACTTCTCCGATTCGTAGATCATCTGTAGTCTATTAAACTTGATAAAATTTTTTCAGGGCCAATTATCCTAATAACTATGTTTGTTTCCTCCTTTTCTTTATTCTCTATAGTGATGAACCTATATGTTCATTGAATGAAAAGCATTGAAAAAAAACACAATTATATGTATATCTGTATAATGAACATTCTTATCTATGTACATTATTAGTGATGGGCCATCATGTAGTCGTTAAACATGATTATTGATTGATAGATAGTGAAAGGAATAAAATTTACGGTATCGCTATAGTCGTGTATTGCTTGCATGGCATTTCGCTCGATTCGAATATAATGTGACCTGTTCTGTGCTTTACGTCTGAATTTACAACTCACATACTTGATAACTAGCGGAAAGGAAAGAAAACGGAATGTAAGAAACGGGAAAAGCAAAACGGCAGCTTAACGTCTAAACGAAATGTGAGATTCTTAACGTAAGAAACAAATTAACGTTAAGTATTATAGGACAAATGACTACGCTAAAGAAATGATATAGCATAAAGTGAATAGGAAGAAAACATTTCGTTAAGGATGATCCACTTACGTTAGGAATTTCGGAATGTTTTCTCTTCCCTTTACTTATATCGTTATCCGTGACATGAATATAGGTCATGAGAGACGAAAGAACAGATACTAGAAAATTAACGCTTCTCGCGTCTTACGGCGCATCACTGCATATTATTGACAGTCATTTTCTTTTTATTTATATTTTGATAGGCAACGTTACAACAAAATAAGCAATTAAAAAATGTTACATATAAAATATAGCACTCCGTAGTAGACATTTAGTTGTTAATGTAAAGAATGTATTTTGGGAAAGAAAACATACAATAGAATAAGTTTATTGACATTTCAATTAAATTTGTTTCGCGATTTAAGCAAATTGATGTACAACATCATCTACATCCTTTTCAAGTGTCTCGATACGTTGTTGCACTACACGCTTAATCCATCTAACGAAGAACAAAATGAATGAAAGGAGAAGAAGGAAAATTATTGACAATACGAGTGCACCAAATTCTTTAATGACGCTTGTCACAGTTAATCGATTATCTTTTAGATCATCAAGGATATCTTTTAACGAATTACTAATTGTTAATTTATAAGTAGATATTAGTTGTTTCGTCATGGTTTTTATCGGCCATGGAATAGTAGATAACTGCTCATGTTTTCCAGTGACACTTGACTTAATTAATACACTACGATTAATACAAGCAGACGATGGTAATTCAGCATTGGTACATTTAATTGCATTACCGCAAGGCACACGCACGATTGATGGTTCATTAATCGAAATGATGCCGCCAAATTCACCGGTATTCGAATGGACGTGACACTGAAGTGGCCATTCATTATGAGAGAAAAGCCAAACATCATTGTCAATATTCATAATACCGGTTTGTATGTTGCGAGAACGTGTCACATGGCAGGAGCTGGTGACGTGTGTGTCATAGCTGAGCAATTCGGATAAACAAGGTGAATTAGATAGTTGAATGAGCGGCGGTTCCTTTTGACAGTAGACAAAAATAGAAAATAGACATTCGTTTTTCTTTGGTGCGCTATTCCATAATATTACCGTCTGAACATCCGTATTGACGCCAATTATCTCGGGCATGTTCGAATACATAAATTTTTCACCGTTAACAATTGCCGGGAGAGATATCAGTCGACAGATTGAAAACGCGTTATCACTTTCGATAGATGGGCGTAAAAATAATGTGGAGACAACAAGGCATGGCTGACTAGTTGAAATATGCTCTTGATTAATTGAGCAGGAACGAAAAACGTATATAGATTGAGCGACAATAAGTTGAGAGAAAAGATCTAGTGATTCAGAAAGATCAGTAATTTTATAAGATTTGTCGATAATAGACACGATTGCGGCTAAAAATGACCTTAATTCAGTGTTTGTTAAGAAGTCAAAGCCGATTTTATTGTTATTTATTTGTCTCAGTATAATAGAAGATGGCCTCTATGATATACGTGGAATGTCAGATTGATTGGTGTCAACGAGAAACTTTGTTGAATCAAGCAATGAATTTTTAATATCATTCGTCAAATGAAATCGATCATTGACCAAGTGAACAACAGAGTTCGTTTTTATGATAAATTCGTCAGGCCGATGAATTCGAAAAATTCGATGAAGATCTTTTCCAATAAAACTGGAAATTTGGTCACTATCGTACCGAGGTAATGCAGTGACCATTTCGCGGGATGCCAATATAGTGGCAAGTTCTAATACGTTAGTGCGCGTCGTCTGCGAAGTGAACAGACAGATATCTGTTTTCGGTGATGCGACGCAAAAATCATCTCGAGGTACGAAAGTGTGAACGATTTCTTCTTTAAGTTTGGACGAGTATGTACCAATACGTTGGAGCACAAATGCTTTATCAATATCAAGTATAACATCAGATGCAGGTATATTTGGCATTGGCAAAAACTTGGTCGATTCGATCAAATTAATTGCAGAAAACAACATCATAATTTGTAAAGAGTCAGCCATCACGAGAGAGAAAATTATTTGAATGATATTAATATAATGTCATTCTCAGTCGTTGCATACCTTTTTCATCCACTTTCTGTTCCAGCCAATGAGATGGGACGCAACTCGCAAGAAAAAAATACATTGTCTATGATTGGCAATTGTTAAATTTATTTCTCTTTTTTCATGTTTCTACAGGCTATGAGCTGGTTTTCTAAAGATCTCTTTGAAAATATAGTTCAATAAAATAGGTTTTATCTAGTGTCTGTTATGCAAAGATGTCCCCAGTAGGGATGCAACGGTAACGGTAACCGCATCTTACCGG